CGGGGGCGAGGTGGGGAATTCGTATCTGGTGTTGTCGTCGTCGTTGTCAGCAGCAGTAGCAGTAGCAGCAGCAGCAGCAGCAGCAGCAGCCGCCGCCGCAGCAGCCGCAGCAGCAGCCGCAGCCTCGTCTCCTGCGGTGTCTAGCTCTTTCGGTCTATCTAGGCGGCCGCGAGGTTAATATACCGAATAATGGTGTCAAAACACCGGGGGGTGGTTGGCGCGCAGGCACCTGAGGGGCTCTCGTCGAGCGCAGTGCTCGACGTCGACCCCTCCACAGGAGCACAGAGCACTGGACGGGACACTGGAGCTAGACTTCACGCGCTCTCTCTCCTCCCACTCTACTACGCTCATTGTTTCGCTGGTCGGTGCTCCTCCCGCCCCTTTTCTTCGACTTGGTCCTCCTCGGTCGCTTTCCCTCGGGTGGGGCACCGCTGCTCGCCTCGCCGCCTTCCGCCATCACGGTCGGCGCCTCGTCGTCGAACGCCTCCCCTCTCTCGCGCCGCCCAAGGACCGTCTCGCTTCCTGGGGCACTGCTGCTCGCCACGCCTCCTGCCGCCATTGCGGCTGGCGCCTCGTCGTCGAGCGCCTCCCCTCGTGCCGCCGGGCTGATCGTGTTGGACCCCGCCTCCGCCTCGTCGAAGTCGTCGCAAATGCTCATCTCGTCCTCGTCGTCGCCGACTGGGTCGCATCTTGGGCCTCCGCCAGCTGTTGGTAGGTCCACCTCGCCCTCGAGCTGCCTCTCCATTTCCAAGTCGTCGCTGGTCGGCGCCGCCTCTTCCTCCGCTTGTTGCGCCTGCTCTGCTGCGTCCCTCCGTCGCCATCTTCGCCTCGGCTCCCGCTCCTGTTCCCTGCCACCCGCCCCTCCCCCCTCCTCGCCCCCTTTGCTCTCTCGCCGCTCCTGCTCCTCGCTGGCCTCCGCCTCCTCCTCTCCGCGCAGCCTCCTTTCTATCGTCTGGCCTGCCATTCCGAGCGCATTCTTCCTCGCTGCCTCCTCTGCGGCGTGGCCGTGCAGTACGTCCGATGTCG